CTATCCATTGCTTGCATTCACAACTGAACACGGTGGACAGCACTCACACACCCAGCCCGGCTAGGGCCTGTGGGAGAACTGGGGCATTTGGCTCCGCGTCCGCTTCTGCTGGCGACGTCTGTTTGCAGAGGGGAGCCCGATCTTCCTTCCTCCTTAGTAAAATTATTCGCCAGAGAAAGAATGAAGTGTGAAAAAGTATTACATAGAGCAAGCATGCCCGTGCAGTCTTCCCAAGGCTCTGGGTTCCTGCTGCTACCTCCGGAAACGGGCCTCTCTGTCTCTTTGTAGTTTCGGTGGATTTTAAACACTGCCGGTGCCACTTGGGAACACTGGCACCTAAACAGCTGCGTGCCCCGTAAATGGAGGCGCGGGAGTGGGCCGCCCTGGGAGTCCAAACAGAAGACCTACAGACAACAGACAACAGCTAAGACGTATGCTGTTTACATGTAGCAGCCTTCTCCAACACTATGGTGCTTTTTTTTTTTTTTTAATAGAAGGAAACTAAATAGAAGTTAGAGGTAGGCTGTTCTTCACGACTGAAAATCAAGAATAATTTTTTTTACCGTACCACTCTAAATTTCACCTAAATTTCATCTGGCATGCACACTGGCACGTATACTTTGCCGGGGCTTCCCAGCAAATGTGGTATATTCCACCGACGGGGTCCATTCTGTAACTGGAATGCACGGAATTTTAACACTATTTGGACAAAGACTCAGATGCAGTGTACAGAGGAGAGCGAGTTTATGTTTATGATTTTTTTTTTTTAATTTGGAGACTTCCTTGGAATGAAGTGCCCCTCTGCAGGACTTAGTTCTTTGTAAAAAGAGAAGCATGCACTCATGTTTCCCACCCTTACACTATTTTTCAGTTCTTAGTCATTGTTGCTGCTAAAAGTGCCTTTCACTAGGAGTTCATCTTTTCTTAAAGCCAGCCAGCCACGCCCATTTCTACCAGCGCTTTCCACTTCCTTTTCTGCTGTTTTGGGGCCCAAACTGCCTTACGGTATTGAACTGCCTTATAGTTTCCTACCCAAGCGCCTAATTGTTGCATAGACGTATTTTCCTCCCATTCCAGGCCCCATGCTCTGTGAGACACTGTGGGGACTGCACCCCAAATATCACCCTTATTTTGAGAATGTTTGCCCAAAATCCTTCATGGGATGCTAAGCTTCCTATACAACAGATGTCTCCATTTCTACTTCTTCAGAGAGAGAGAGAGGAGAGAGGGAGGGAGGGAGAGAGACTGGGTGTCTCCCAGCTGTGAGCAGAGGGGGAAAAATTCTCTGAAGCCCAGAGCGACTGACTTCCAGCTCATGGGAGTAGGCTTACTGTTAAAACTTCCGTTAAGCAAAATTAAGTGTGGATTCGGGAGCCATATCCAAACTGGCATAGCACGGAAGGTCAAAGGCACCGCGTAAACACTGCCTGCGTGCTCTGTGCGAGAGAGACAGGAAGGCCAGATGATAAACTGGCCAGGGCTCAACAGCGCCAAGCACAACCTGTTTTCTTCAAAGTAAGGCTTCGTTCAGAGTTGCAATGTTATCTTTCTTTCTTTCTTTTTTTAAGAATGGGAAACAAACTGAAACAAAAGTCATCCGTGTTTGGCTATATTTTCACAACAGTGCTGGCTTTGTCTCACATTCTACCAGGGCTCTGGAGGGAAGTTGAGGAAGAGTGCAAGCTGCATGAGTTTGTAACACCAGTGGTATGAATTTGTGTCCGTTTAAAATAGGTCAATGTTAGGAGTCCTGCTATTGAAGATGGCTCCAATCTTTCCAAATGATGTCTAACTCAGCTTCGAGACCAGCCTGTTTTGGGGTAAATATCCATAAAGCAAACAAAGGACAGCCTTTATTCCACGAAAGCATTATTTTCTGCTTATATTCCTGGGGCTAACGTGATCTGAAATCGTCACCAGCCTGTCTTACTGGGGAAGCACTCTACCAATGTTCACAGTGAAAGATGATTTGATGCCACAGTTATACCTGATACGTACTTGGAGTTACATAAGTCAGAGGTGGACTTTCTTTTTCCTATTTAAGGCCAGTGACCTTCAAAGTTAAAGGAAAAAAGTAAAATCAAAAACAAACAACTTTGATTTGTCCAAAGTGTTTATATTCCATCTTGTCAGGTCTTGCTAACAAGAAAATCACGGTGTGGAAGAGAAGAAGGAAAAATAATCAATTCTAGCCAAAAGGCAAGTGCAGTTTATCTGTCCCAGGAAATGCTCAAGCCACTTCCAGGGCCACACTTGCTGCCTCCCCTTTCGGAGACAGGTTTGTGTCTGGATTTCACCAGCGTGGGGCCCTGTTTGCAAAGTCCAGCACCACTGACTTCCCCCCTCCTCCCCACCAAAGGGTAATGATGGTTCAACTGATTTGAAAACTGAAAACTTCAGGAAGAAAAAAAAAATCGAGAAAGCATAATATGCATTTGTATGAAATATTACTAATTTCCACAGGGGGCCAGCCTCAGCAACGCGCAAAACAGCCTCTGACTTGACCCTGAATGACTGCCTCTCTGCTCCTCCACCAGTCCTTTCACAGGCGAAAAGGATGCTTTTACACTCCTCATGCAATTGTTGGGCCCAGTTAAACTGTACACTAAGAAATTGAGTACAGAATCAAAAAAAAATGCAGTTTATTATTGTAGATTATTCTTTCTCTTGATATAACCAGAATTGAAAATGAAAGGAAAGCACATAGGAACATCACGCGTGGTTAGTTAGTAACTCAAGATATAAAACAATTTTGCACAGCAAAATATGTAAAAGAAAAGTAACTGACAAGATTTTTTTATATTTATTGTGGTAAGATTTACTTTTCATTATTTTAAAGACAGGATGTCAGTCCCTGAAAATAACATTTACTGATTATTGCCTTTAAAACTGTGGATTTTTTTTAAGTTACAGAAAATCCAGTTCTGCACCACAATACAACTGTAAAAAAATCTGCATCGTCTTAAAACTGTGCAGTAATGCCATTTTTATAACTGCATAAATTTTATTAGCGTTCTAAACAGTTTTGCAAATTTTTTGTATTATATGCTTGCAGGTTATATCTTAGTGCAATTCAGTCCCAAATACTTTAATTTTGAAAAAAAAAACATACATTTTGAATGTAAAATAATACCCCTACAGATATAAACAGGGGTGTTTCCCCTTTTAATACTTTGGTTTTCAATACAGTCAGTGGTATAGCAAAGACTACACATACCCAACTTAGGTTTAAGTTGCAAGCACATGCTGTATACGCTACTTTTGTTTTTAACAGTCCCCCTGCAAACTCTACCCCCCTTAACATCACAACAGTAAACAATTTAGTGCATCAATCTTTTAAAAAATCTACAGCTAAACAGACCTAACTCTTCCAAATTTATCTATAACATTCCTTTATCTGTAGCATACATTTTAACTGGGCTAACAGATTATAAAAACTAGAATTAAATTATATACTAGAAACCCATAGCATTCCACATTTGACAATGACCAAAAGCCAAAAAAAAAAATATAATAAAATAAAATAAAACAAACCAAAAATAATGGGGCAGATTTCTCTCTCTCTTTTTTTTTTGTTTTTAAATAAATTTTAGACTGCTTTCTGGCAACAGCACGATTTTAGTCCCCAGAGTGGGGCATCATTCTTAATAAAAAGAAAACATTCGAGTTCTTTCCTGTTTGCCATGTTAAATTTGTAACCCATTCTGGTATCTGTGACAGGAATGCCTTCAGTGCACTGACAATGGAGGCTGAAGTTCTGAGGAACTCAAAGCGGTTTGGGAGCAGATGCAAACTTTCATGGGAAGAAGGTTCTAGGGTTGCACTTTTTTGTTCTGAACTCAAAAAAGTCGTGAGGCACTAAAACAAAAGTACGAATGCCATGCTCTACGTCTTCGAACGTCCATTTCCAAGCCAAAAGGAAAAAAAAAAGAAAAAAAATAATTATACCATACATGTCCAGCATGCAGGCTTTTTTTTTTATTAATATAATGTCTTTTTTTCCATAAAGTCTTTGAAACAGTTAAAGTTCATGTTGCTAAGACGGAGTAGCAAGCATAATAATGCATGAGATGAGAATGAGTTTTCTTTTAAATGGCAGACAGAACTCTTAGCTTTGGCATCCTAAGGCCAAAGCTCACAAGTCATACCCAGAAGGTGGATGCAGGCTTGATTGTGGCAGGTTCAGGAGGATTTTTTCTCTAGTTTAGCATAACAATGCTAAAAAAAAACCCGATGGAACTCAGCACGTTGCAAGTCTATAATATTTCACATTTTTTTTTCCTTTGCAAGCTCAATCTCACATGAAGAACTCAGGAGGAGAAAAAAAACTTTTATCTCGGAGGAGATGAGAGGGAGTGAGGGTGGAAGTTGGGCAACACAGCAAGCTCCAAAAAAGTAAAATTAAAAAAAAATCCAAACAAAATAAAACACACACAGAAAATGAACACCAGCTCATGAACTGAAGAAGAAAGAAGGGGGGGGGACAAAAAACACAAAACAAAAAAACAGGTGAATGATGCAGGCTTCAAAGGTGAGCAATGGTTCACTCCAAGGGCTCCGCAGAGATCTTTGAACATCGTGCAAGTCGTGGGGGGGAGGGAGGGATGTTGTAAAAAAAAAAAAAAAAAAAAAAAAAAAAAAAAAAAAACCAACAAGCTAGCAGGTTATGGAGACTTTCAGATTGGCAATCCGTGGGCCAGAAACCCCTTCCCTCCCCAACTTAAAACAGCCGCCGCCGCCACCAGCAGCAGCACCTGGGAGCGGGCTGCGTGCGTGCGTGCGCGCGTGTGTGTGTGCGTGTGTGCGCGCGTGTGTGTCAGTGTGTGTGTGTGCGCGTGTATGTCAGTGTGTGTGTGTGTGTGTGTGCGCGCGCGCGCGCGCGGGGGCCGGGGGCTCGGCAGGGGAGGGGCGCGGCGGTGGCGAGCGCAAGCCCACCCCCGGGCCGGACCCCCGCGCGGCGCCTAGCGAGGTGGCTAGCTGGGGTCGCGTGTCACACTCACATGAAAAACTCGGGAGAGGACGGGTTGTCGCTGCTCGAGCCGTTTTCTCGGAAGCCGCTGCTCACCAGCTTCTCGTACTTCTCCTTGTAGGCGTCCCTCTCGCGCACCAGCCGGGAGATCTCTTGCTTGAGGTGGTCGACCTGCTGCAGCAGCTGGTTCTTCTCGGACTCCAGGACGTGCCGCTGCTGCACCCTCTTGAAGCGGCAGGACTGGGCATAGCCGCGGTTTTTCAGGGTCCGCCTCTTCTGCTTGAGCCGGATCACCTCCTCCTTGCTGACCCCGCGCAGCTGCCGGTTCAGCTCGCGCACGGACATGGTCACCAGCTGCTCGTCGGAGAAGCGGTCGTCGAAGTGCAGGCCGCCCGCCGCGTGGTGCGGGTGCAGGGCGCCCCCCGCCCCCGCCGCGCCCCCGCCGCCGCCGCTGCCGCCGCCGCCGCCGCCGCCGCCTCCTCCTCCTCCGCCGCCGCCGCCCCCGGCGCTGGCCGGGCCCCCGCCGCCCGCGCCGCCCGCGCCCCCGGCCGAGCCGGACGCGCTGCCCGCGGCGCCGGGCGCGCCGGCCGTCGGGTGGTGGTGGTGGCCCGCGGCGTGGTGGTGGTGGTGGTGGTAGTGCGGGCCCGCGCCGCTCTGCGCGGCGGCCGCGGCGATCACGGCGGACACCACGGCGGCGGCGGGGCCCATCTCCTCGCCGCTGCCGCCCAGCGCGGCGCCGGCGCCGGCCCCGGCCGCCGCGGCCAGCTGCTGCGCCCCGCGCGCGTAGCCATCGAAGCCGCCCTGGAGCTGGTGGCTGTTGCTGATGAGCGCCTCGACCGCGTCCTCGGGGCTGAAGCCCAGCGCCTCGGGGTTGAGCTGCTGCGGGTAGCCGGTCATCCAGTAGTAGTCTTCCAGGTGCGCCTTCTGCTCGCTGCCCGAGCCCGGGCTGGGCGCCGAGAAGCTGGGGGAAGGCGGCACCGAGCTGCACGGCGTGCTCATGGGGGTGGAGGACAGCGAGCCCCCGGCGATGAGACGGCCGCACTGGCTGATGATGCGGTCGGTCTCCACCGGCTCCTTTTTCACTTCAAACTTCATCAGATCGAAGTCATTAACATATTCCATGGCCAGGGGACTGGTGGGCAGGTCGGAGTTGCTCATCGCCAGTTCCGTTGCCATCCTCCTGCCGCCGCCGCCGCCGCCGCCGCTCCGCCAGATGGGCTGCAGGAGAGGGGCCAGCGGGCTGTGCTGGGCGGCGAGCGGGTGAGCCAGCTTGCCGGGCTGGGGCGCTTCTAGCTCGCGCGCCGGCGGCTGGCCCGGAACCTCCGAGCGCGCACACGCCCCCCCGCCCTGCCCGCGCCCCCCGCGCCCGCCCTCCCTCCCCGCCTGCTCACGCCAAGGGACTCGCTCGCTCGCTCGCTCGCCCCGGCCCCTCCTCGCCTGCTCGCCTCCGTGCGCGCCGGGCCGGCGGCTTCAGGCTGGGGGAGGTCCTCGGCGAGCTGCGGCGGCGGCGGCGGCGAAGCCGGAGGAGCCCGGCCCGGTGCGCGGCGTCCCCCGCTCGCCGCTCCGCTGCGCGCTTTGCATAAGGAGGGCTCGGCTCGCCGGGGCGCGCGCGGCGGCCGCTCGGGGCTGCAGGCGCGGCGGGCGCTGTCCGGGCGGTGCGGGCCTTGGCACGGGGGAGTTAACGCTTCATGCTTCTCGCCTCCGCGTCTCCTGGCTCGCTCGCTCTCTTTTTCCTCTTTCTCTCTCTCTCCTCTCCCTCGCTCTCGCTCCCTCTGTGCACAGTGCAAGACAGAAGTGCAGCCTGGCTGGAGGGAAGGGAGCGAGGAGTTAAGTTCCTTCTTGCCTTGTTTCTCTCTCTCTCCCTCTCTCTCTCTCCCTCTCTCTCAAAAGCAAAATCGCGAAGTCCTGGGGAAAGGCGAGGCAGAAGAGCCAAGGGGGAGGCCGAGCGGGTGAGCGGCCCGAGCTACAGCGCGAAGATGAAAAAAGATTTTAAAGCCTGTGATCCAGCAAGAAGAGTTTAAAGCAATTGCTGAGTTTTATAGCACTCGTGACGTCAGGCCCAAATGGGAAATTGACTGGCACTCTGGGCCAATGGCAGGCTGCGAGCGCGGCGGCGATTAGCATAATAGTATAGAAACAAGGAAACTTTTCGGAGCTGTCAATCAGGGCCCAATCAGCTGACTGTCAGCTGGGACGGGCTGGCTTAACCCTTGCCGCGCCGCGCTCCCCGGGCGCGCGAGCCAGGCCCCGCGCAAAGTTTAGCGCAAGAAGAGTAGGGGTTTTCAGAGGGACTGCGGGAGCTCGGGCGGGCCCGGGAGCACCGATCGCTGCTCCTCTCGAGCGCGACAGGGGCCGGCCGGCCTTCCGGGGCCCCCCGCTCACCCTCTGCGGCCGGCGCTGGCACCCGCCGGACTCCCCGGCCCTGCCACCTCCCACCCAGTCCCCAGCGCCGCGCGTCGGCCTGGAGGCTTTTCCTCCTCGCTGCACCTCTGGCGTCCAGGTGTCGGCTGGGGGACCCTGCTTCCCTGGACAGCTCTGCGGTGCTCCGCGCTCAAACTTGGCTCCAACTCTGTCCCTCTCACGGTGTCGGTGCGCGGGGTAACGCGCGCCGCGCTGGGGTAGGGGCTGCGCGCAGGACGCCGCTCCACCGCGCGCCGGCCCGGGGCAGCTGGAGGGGTCCTGGGGGAGGGAGCAGCCCCGGCACAATCGCCTTCCACAGGCGGTGGGTGAGCTGGGGCCGTGGGTGTAGGCCCCCGGCCGCAGGCGCGCGCGCCCCTGGCAAGGGAGTGCGGCCGCGGCTGGAACTCTGGGAGCTGGAAGTAGCGTTGGGGGTGCTGGGTCCTCGGCTCCCGACCCCGGCCAGAGCGTGGCCTCCAAGACTCGCACCCCTAGCCCCGGTTGGGCCCCCCTGTTTTAACCAGGCCCTGCGAGCGTTTGGCCGAATTCCTCCAGACTTGCCCGCGGCAAGACCCCAGTCCACACGGGTTACCCTCAAAGGGTTAAATTTTAAGCCACTTTTTCTCGGTTGGACCTGGAAATCTGGAGTGGGGGTGAAGTGGGGGGCGTTTCCCTCCCTCCCCACTGGAAATGCTAATAACCGGTTTAGTTTTTCTCAATCGATTGTTTTAAAGCTTAAGAAAAAAAAAAAGGAAAAAAAGAAAGAAAAAAGAACCCGACAAGTCTGTTTCTAAGATTTTAAAGCGATAGGCCAGTCGGAGACGCGGGGATTCATTTGGGATTGAGAGACACTGCTGGAAGCTCACCCCGCGTTTGCGACACCGGGCAGCCCGCTTGAAAGTTGGCACGATTTGTGCAGTTAATGAGACGCATTGGGCGTTAATCGTATTTATTTGACTTTGCGGGAGAGGTGGGGGGAAACGCTAGGAAGGGATGCATTTAAAAAAATTTTTTTTTTTTTTTTTTAATTCTGAAAAGCCCGCAGGAGGATCGAAGAGCGAGAACTATTGTTGGACCTGGTTGGTTTGTGCCTCAACAGCGCCACCTTTCGGCAAAGGTCAGTGGACGGCGACGCGCGGCCGGTTCCGCCGCCGCGGGGAGAAGCTGCCTGCCCCGGGCGGGCCGGCGCGCAGAGTGGGTCCGCAGGCGGCGGGCGCGCAGAGTGGGTCCGCAGGCGGCGGGCGGCCCGGGCCTCGCACACAAGGGGCCGGAGACCCGGCTCGCAGGCCCCGGACCACAGCAGCCCGCGGGAGTCCTTGCGGCCGAGCCCTCTTGGCGCGCGTCCCCCCCAGCACCCCCCAGCACCCCGTCCCCCAGGGCCCCCCAACCCCACCTCATCACCTCCCCAATAACAGCCCTAGCCCAGAGCCGGGCTGGGTTTCCAGCGGGCTTCGCGGCGCTCTGGAGAGAAGTAAAGTTCTCTAACTCTGGGCGGTAAGATGAAGTGCGTTGCTAGAAAGTTGTTTATCTGCAAAGTAATTCCCGGGAAACCTGACTTCTGTCACCGAGTCCTACATTAAGCCGGCTTCTTGAACCCGGCGCTTCGGCGCGCTCGCACCCACCCGCGGCGGCGGCGGCGGCGGCGGGCTTCGCCGCTTATCGCCAGGCCTGCGGCTGCAGGCTGCGTAGACCGGGGCAGCCCTAGCCTGCGCCGCGCGGGGCCTGGCAGCCCTGGGTCTCAGCAGACCCGGGCATCCCGGCTGGGAGAGGCCCCAGGAGGATGGCGGGGCCGGTGCTGGTCCTCAGGGGCCTGCGCCCAGGGTATTCCGAATTGTCTGCAGAAGCAGTTCTGACTTTGTAGGGCACAGAGCCGGGAGAAAGGGTGAGGACTGTCTCCCAATTCCCCGGAAGTTAGGGGAAGGTGCTGGGTGCACTCCGTCCTCTGCCTCAACGACAGGGGCACTGCACTGTCCCGAGCCATCGTTTCTTTCATTTTTAAAAAAGAATTATTAGACACAAGTGTCTGAAGTTTATATATATATATAATATAAAATTTATGTATAAGTTGGGGGTTTAGGATAATTTTAAAAAATCACATAGTTTTGTTGACAGCTCTAAGGTATGATCCATGCTTCTCCCCCTCCCCTCCCCCCCAAAAAATAAGAAAAAAGCATTTCTGGCTAGGGACATTGAAACTTCTGCACTTGTAAATAAACAACATTTTTTAAACAAAGTTGGCTAATGAGGAAGCCGGGGCCCTACAGATCGGCGGCGGCCACATACCCAGTCGTCTCCAGCACACATCATTTCTAGAAATGCCCATCTTTGGCACGATCGCTTTATTATCATCTGCGCATTTTCTAGGGTTTATTTTTGTGCACTGCTGTCAAGCCAGGGTGTTTTTCTTTCTCTTATTGTAGATTCTTTTATAGTTCTCTCGTTTTCTCTTGGGGAAAAAAAAGAGAGAGAGAGAGAGAGAGGGAGAGAGGATCAGGATTATTTTTCAGATGTGTAGCCCTGGTGCTCTCTGGGGCTTACAACTTAATTCTCACTTTTGTCCCTTTTACTTTATTATTTAGTGATTCACAGGGGTGTCTAAACATTTACAGTTCTCTGTTAGTGGCGTTTCTTTTATAACAATCGAGCCCTCTCATTTTAATTAGTACTATTCAGGTTTCTGAGGCTCTACAATTACAACAGGACACATTTCTTTAGATTTCTTCCCTAACTTTGTTTCGCTTCTGTCCAAGCCAATCTAATCCAAATACAATATGAACTGTGTTTTCTTACAGCTTAATACCCCCTTGCTATATATAGCCCAGTAATCTCTGTAGAACAATATACAGTAATTCAGAAACCGTGCATTTGTCATTATTGACCAATTCAAACCAGTAGCTGTGAAGTCTCTGAAAGCGATGAATATTTATAGAAGATTTTTGAGGGGAGGCGGCCATGGGTCGAATCACCGAAAGGGTTGCGAAAGAGTCAGCATCAAAAACACAACTGTAGTTTCGTGCCAGTCCACGCGTAACAACTTCGTGCCAGATGAATGTAAAACCCTTGCGAACAAATTACAAAGACTGAAAGCTAAAGGGAACACATTTTTCCTGATTGTTACACCAACTTAAGTGCATCACACCAAAATCGGACATAAATATATATGTGTGTGTGTGTGTGTGTGTAAAATATGCAGAGAACAGGATGCACCAAACACGGCGTCTGAACTCTTTGTTTATCTGGGAACTGATTTTTCTAGGGCAGAGCTGACCAGCGTCCACTACATTTCACTATGAAACAACCTGAATTGATCTGCGAAAGAGTTCTTTAGAGGAACTGAATGATGAGGCGCCCGCTGTTCTTAGGGCTCGTGTTAGATAAATCCTTTTAACAGTCTTCAGTTAGCAGGGTAAGTAAGTCACAAATCACTGTTCGCAGATTCATGGAAGAAAATTAATAGAATCAGACGCGATAATCTGATAAGGGTAAACTTGCTGAGGAAACAGTCTTGCCTCACATCGGAGGCTCTGAAACAACAGTCTGATTACTCCGAGTCGTCATGAATAGGTGAATTATGTGTTAAATAATCATCAGAGTAATTCAGCATTTATTAATTCTTTTTCTCTTTAAGCAATTCACAGTTGTAAGTTAAAGCCGCTCTCTCTTTGAAGACACATCTTTTATAATTTTTATTAGAGGTAATTTATTATTTGCATTACCTGTATTTACTTCATAATTGAACATTTTGCATTCAAATTTATGTAATGCATTATGCTTGAGAATATATTTCTGCCTGATTAGCATAAATAGTCACTTACCTCATGAATTACTAACAAAGTTTATCTTAAAATATAGGTTTTTTTATTAAGTGGAACGCAAACATATGTACAATAAATTCTGATTTTCCGGTGCGGTTAGAGAACAACTAACATTTGCTTACCGGGAGGAGGAAGCAAAATAGAGACAAATGAGGGGTGGAGGTTTCTTTCCCAGGGTCTCCTTTAGATGGGGGGGGGGGGTGAGCCTGGCGGGGGCGGGAGGAGAAGCCGAGGGGAGGAGGCAGCCCTGGGCTCCTCATGTATTGTTTGCATTATTTTTTGGGTGCTCTCAACATGAAATGTGGGCCCCATCATCAGTGGTCTCTCCCTTAGTGACAGCAGGTCAATAGCATGGACAGAGTTTGGGGGGTTTGTTGATTTTATCTTGATTTCATGTGTGTTTTGTTTTTTTTGTTTGTTTGTTTTGTTTTTGGTCTCCTTTTGTCTGCAGCGTTCTTCCCAGGCTGTGTCATGAAATACGTGTTTGTTTTACACACAGAGACGTGGAAGATCCAGGTGTGTTCCCAAGCGAGGACTCCCGGGAAGGTGGGCCAGACAGGGGCCAGCTCGCTCCCCCTTCCTTATCCCACAGAGGCCCCCACAGTGGCCTGGCAGATGGGAGGCGCTTGATGAATGGCCTTGTGTATGCTGTCCACGAGAGTGTTAAATGAAAGGACTTCTGGGTTCAGGCCATACAAGGGATGTAAAGTGAGGGGGCCCGAGCCCCCACTCTTGCCACCCCGCATCCACACATTTCTGTGCTGTTTCCGTCTCCCTCTGCAGGGCAGGGCCATCTCCCTGGGTTTTCCTTTTCCTTCGCCGAGGGGCTGTTGATGACGACGAGTCCGTCAGCATCCCTGTGGTCCCTCTTTGCCACTTACACTGGTGACGGGGTTTCTCTCCACAGCGTTTATCCCTTCAGTGATTTCTACTGTGGTGAGTTCAAAACTGACTTTAAAACAAAACAGGATTGGAACAAGGGACGAGTGCAGGCTGTAACTTCCTGCTCGCTGACGAGAGGACAGATTCATGGACGACGGTCCCTTGTGAGTTTTGCTCTCCGTTATTCCTACCCCCCAGTGATGGGGGCGTGTCCTCCCTCGGTGGGCACCATCAGAGGCTGACCCAGAGATTTTCTTAACACGTGTGCTCTGAACTCCTTTGGCTGGGACCCCTTATGGGGACCTTTATTTCTGTTCTCAGTGCCATTGTGGGCGTGGCCAGGCTTTGGCAGGCATTGTTCTGTGCACTACAAACACCAAACGTGCCCAGGGACGCCCTCCCAGCACCGTGTCCATTGCGACAGAATGTTCCAGATCCTATGGAGAACAGAAATCGGGCTGAACACCTCTACCACCCACAATAAAAGTTAAAGGGACAGAATGGACCTTCTGTTGCTATTATTTTTCTTTATTAGTTTTCTTACAGTGATGTCTTCTCTGGCAAGCACAACAGAAATAAGCTATCAAACAAAAGGATGGCTAGTTCTTCTCTTCACCAAGACCCCTGGCCTTGGTGTCAGCTGTTTCCATCTGCAATACTTAGGGTGCCTATGTATACTTTTAACAGAGTGGCCTCGCCGCAGCTGCACAGTGAACACCCTTTGAAATGCACTCACGTTTACAGTCTCAAACACTGGTTTTGAGCACTTCTCTGCTCTTTGAGCGAATTCACCTCGTGGGATCTTAGACTGCGGTGGGGGTTGGGGGGCAAAGCTAGAGATCCGATCAGCTAATGTGGGCGCCTGACCCTGCTTTACGCTCCCTGGCGGGGGAGCTGGCTGCATGCACACCGGCTTCTCCGACAGGGGCAGCAGACACAGTGCCCAGGGCCCACACTGAAAATCAGTGTCTAATAAAGGGGTCGGCTGCAGCCCGGATTGCGTCTGTCAGCCCACCAATGCAGTCATCAATTATAATTGCATAGGCAGATGTGTGTGTTTTTATCGAAGAAGGGGTTCATGCAAGCCAGCGTGCCCAGGGCCCACAGAGGCCCAGACTCAGCCTGGACAGCATGTACTTGATCCCCTGCAGTGACGGGTGGCTCCCTACTTATCAGCTGTACCGTTCACCTATCTTCCCAGCATCCTTAAGGCTGTCATGAAGTCATAACCCCTTCTCCACGCTGATCCTGATGTTACAGACTCATGCTGCAGGGTCTTTGGGAGGCAGAGAGAGCCTACAGGATACCTTTTCCCTGTCTTTCATTTTGTAGCCTACGCCTCGGCCCTTGAACATTTCCACATATGCCGTGATGCCAAGCACTCCTGCTTCCTGCTTGCTCACTCCAAGGTGCACTTACATGGGTCACTGCAGCCCTCTGAGGGTTCAAGTCCCAGCACTGACGCCAGGTGCCCAAGGGGAAGCCTGTCACCACAGAGCAAACTCCACGTCCCAGCTGCTAAGCTGCGGTCGTCTGCCGCACACGCAGGCCGTGATTTCATGAGCAGACACGCAACAGCGGTGACTCATGGTGCGTGCATTTTGGACTCACTCCCCTGGGCCTTTCTGTTTCCCCCATCCTAGGTTTGTGTGCGTAAATGTTTGAACCCAAGCACAGACGTGTGTGCGTCTCACTCGATTCAGTCTTGCTCTCCTTGTGCCGGGTGCAGATGACATCGATGTGCTTTGGACCTGCAGCACCTGCAGACTGGGATACTGCTGGGTCTCGGAAGTGCACCTGTGAAATGTCCCTATGGATGCGGGGCCCCAGGGGAGCTCCGTGAACAGTGCTCGGCTGCTTTTCTTACCATGCCCGGGGTTGGTAAAGACAGTGGGAGGGACCAAGCCCTGTGGCATCCCATGGTAGACTGTTCCCCCCAACCCTCATGAGCTCTGACTCCGTAAGTCCCCTAATAGACATTTTAAACTCACCTACCTGGTAAGCAGGGCTAATTTTAAATTAAATCACCCCCATCTGGGTATTCTACATAGACGAGAACTTCAAAAAGTTTGTTGAAAATGGAATCAAAAGATAAGTTTATTGGGGTGCAGTGTTTTTAAAAACTTACCATTTAACAGGTCTTCAAAAAAGTTCATGAAAAAAACATGCATTATGCCAATGCTATGCATGGGTTTCAAATATTTTTGGCACGCACATAAGCTTATCTTTTAAATCCGTTTTTCCCACAAATGCTCAGACATACCCTCGCATATTTTTTGGATCAGTTTTCTGGGTCCAGGCAAAGCTTTCCGTGGAAGAGGCCACGTTACTGGGCAACTGCTTCGCGTTTCACACCTGTCTGTGTCTTTGTAAACCTTGGCTCTGTCAAAATATGTAGCAGTTGTCCAACGTTGGGACCGCAGAGACTAATAAAAAATAGATGAAACCTGGCCAAACTCAGCAGAAGAGGCCCGCGTGCATCTGAAAGTGTCTCAGAGTGGCTCTCTCCCTCTTGTTTGGAACACCCATTCCCCTGCTGATTCCTGCCGCCCGTGCGGAAGCCAGTGGCTCCGAGGCATTTTCCTGAACAGGAGAGTTCAGAATTTACAGTGTCTGCCTTTGAGCCGCGGCCAGGGCCCCAGTCTGTCTGAATGTGCAGGCTTTTGCACAATCTCCCGTTTGAGGCCTCCCTTGCCCCCTTTCAGAGAAACCAGGGAGGAGCGCAGGGACCAGCCCATGAGTTATTTATGACCTGTCCCTGTGTCCTGTGTGAGAGAGCTGGGCTCTGGCTGGTTCAGCAGCCCCAGTCCGGGCTCGCCAGAGCTCAGGGCAGAGAAAGGGACCCCGGAGGCAGGCATCGCTGACTGTTGACTTGTGGCTGGGGGAGGAGCTGCTGATTAGGCATCATGGTGTCACAGTGAGGCACACTTGGCTGTGGCAGACTGGAGTGTGAAGGACAGGGGTGGCAGGGGAGGGGGAGGGGTGGCCTGGAGACAAAGCTTGAGGTCAGCCCTCACCCAGGTCACTGTTCAGGCTGCAAATGGACTGAACTGCATGAAGGCGTTAAAAAAAAATATCAATCCTGGATTGCAAGGAGGGACTGCCCTCAGCTGTTTGGGGCTGGATAGATGGGAACAGGGGCCAGACGGCCAGGGACATGGGTGAGAGCTGACCCCAGGTTGCTGTGTGGGTGATGACAGGGCAGGAGGGCAAAGCTGGGCTATCTTTGAGTCTTTGAGGATGAAGTGACAGAGCCGGCACCTTGGGGCCGGGGGCTGCTGTTTGGGGCTGGTATTGTGTGGAGCCTCGGTCCTAAGGCAGACGGACCTCGCAGGTGCCTTGCTTTGGCACCATGCCAGCAAGGGTATGTGTCCTGCTCCATGCCACGCGTGAGACCTCGGCTACATTTGCTGAGCTCTCTGGGCCTCGGCCTCTGCTTTGGTCAAAGAGTTTTTGTGTTTTTGAAACACACAGACACCGCACGCCCGGCACAGTGCCTGTCCCGCGGTGGGGGCTCTGCCACAGTGTGGTTAGCGTGTGCCGAGGGTGGTGTAGAGGGACCCGGGCACTATCTCCCCTCTTTTGTCTTTTCCGCTCCTGCCTTCAGGTTGCACTTGGGAGGCACGGCTGCCTCCCCATGAACACAGACCCTGTTCTGCAATCTTCAGGTGACAAGACCATGCTGCACCCACAGCTCCGGCACAGCGCATGGCATCTGAGAAGCCTTTAGGAAATGAGATGCTAATACTACGCCGCTGGCTCCAGGGGCCCTGCTTAGCTAATGCCTTCACTCGCGGATCCCACAGTGGCCGCTCAGCCTCTGTTTGGGAGCCTCAATGCGTAGCTGTCAGGTAAGGCAGCGACTTCCCGGTAGAGTGGTCTTGGAACAGTTCTTCATGTTGAGTGAGTCCAGTGTCTTCAGGATTGGAGCACATAACCCACATTTCCAGGGTCAGAGCTGGTGTTGGACTTGGCCGTCGTCATCAGAACGGCTTCCTTCCACCTGCGGGATCTCCAGGCAGGCCTGCAGATGGGAAGCTCCAGACCCAAATACTTCCGGGTTAGGTCTAGTGGGGGTCACTCGGAGTCCTCCATGGTCAGCAGAGCCATGGTTGGGTGGCATTGGGCTGATTCATTTGACCAGTTATATGCCCACCCCCTGAGCCCACTGCCATGGCAGAGGGGTGAAATATGACAGGCTCATACGTGAACTCAGAAATGAGGCAGGAGAGGGGCTCGGGGATTCTTTGAGTGTGATTCAGGAGCTGCCCCAAGAGTGACCCCGTGGAGCCGCCACACAACTGTGCCATTACTAACAACAACGAGTACATGGCACTCACCCAGGTGTGTCTCAGTCTTAACTCACGGGGTAGTCACAGTGGTCCTCAGAGATGCACGCGGCTGTCACCTTGTTCACTGGCTTCCTCAAAAGGTGGCCCCTCATGTGCTCGGTTACGGGGCTTTCCCAAGGTCACATGGCTGGTGAGTGACACTGTAAATCCAGACATGGCTACACGGTCTGTACTCCTGCTTCCCTTTAATTACCTATGGTAAGAGGGAGACAGGCAGGAAGTAAATAGCCAAGTAAACATACCATATCCCATCATAAAGTATAATATAGTATCATATAACGTGAAGGTACTTAAAAAGTTCATGGAAATCAGAGTTAAAGGATTAGTTTATGTTGGTTACAAGCACTTTACGTGCACGTCCCTTGAATTAAAAAGTTCACACGACACGTGTATTGCGTAAAAACTATACGTGGTTTCAAAGTTGTTTTGCACAAAAATAAACTTACCTGTTAATTCCATTTTTCCACAAATGTCTTGACGTGCTGTCACGTGGCTTATTGTGCGAGATGGGAGCGGAGCAACGTATTGCATCACACTGTAACGTGGCTGGTTGGCAATCGGGCCCTTCATCTCCGTCTCCATTCCGATGCCATCTATCATGGGCACTGCTCAGGGAGGTGTCAGCTGACCGAGTCTCAGTGTGAATCCCTGGATCCAGCAGTCTTGTCCTGCCGTGGCAGCATCGTTATTCTCAAATGCCTACGTTAGCTTCAGCCCCATAAGCAAAGCAAATGATTAAAGGAGGAAGTTGGGGCAAAGAGCAGGAGAGCCAGGATTTCTTGACCTGTGACTGCAGCTCCCAGTGCCAGTAGGAAGCTGCACTGTGTCCCTGGAACTACCGCACTGGACTCCCTCCTTGGGAAGCTCAGAGCAAATCAGTTACAGACAGGTAGAGATAAAGTCAGGTGGCAAATGCAGATTATGAGAGTTTGAACTTGATCTCTTTATTCGCCTTTCTTGATGCTTTCGGGAATTTCTTTAACTCTTTGGACACTGGTATTTGCTCCACGTAAATACGCATCGGTCTGTTGGCAGGCTGCTTGCAAGTGTGACAGTGCACGAGGGAGCAGAGCAACGGAGGGTTTTGTGTTTTATTTAATGATGAAGCATATGCCTGCCGCTTCCTTCTCAGGACGCAGATACGAAGGAACGCAACCCTGAGTTTCCTCACTTCACTTCTGCCTCTCCGTTTGCAGCCCAGTATTCTGGGAGGCATTTAATCAAGGCATAACAGCAATTATAAAAAAAATAAAATAAAAAAAAAAAAACAAAAAAAAAAACCAACGCCCCTGACATCACGTTCCCATCTGTAATCAGAATTGCTAATATCTCCCTCCCTCCACTATCCTGGTGTAATCTCGGTGCGCATTCAGTTCCCTTGAGGTGACTAAGAGTCTAGTCATTAACACAGCATCCACCAGCTTTGTTGGAATTTACCCTCAGAAAGCCCTGTTCCCAGAACTCCCCGAGCAGACAGCAGCTCAGTGCCAGTCTCTCTTGGCCACTGCACAAGTCTGTGCATTTTCTTTGTATTGGAGGAGCTTCTCCAACTCAAGCTCCAACATGACGCTGCTGTCTGTTTCCTATGTCACAGGGGGAAAGGCTCAGTCTGAAGTTACTTGAAAGAAGAATTCGGCTTGTAGAGGCTTGCGTTTGACGCCTGCATTTTTACCTTTTCGGTAGCACTGGAATGATTTGAGAGTACTGATGATGGTGGTGGTGGTGCTGACAATAAGGCTGGTACCAGTTCACAGGGAATGCACGAGCTAGAGGCACGAGACTAATTCCGTGACGAACCAGGGGTTCCAATCCAGAGTTTGAGGCATTCTCTAAACAAACGTTCTAGTTTCTTCAACAAATAAATGATCTACAAAAGGGAGGGGGAGAAGGGAGGACTGTGACAGTTTGAAACAGACCTTGTTCTAGGGAGAAAAGAAGTGGATCTTACTCAGAGTTGTAACGCAGTGGTGGGAGGAGTGGCTAGGAGCGACGGCAGCGGGAGCTGCCCACACCCTGCCTCTCACTTGCCCCAGAGGGCCACGCTGTCTCCCAGCCATGGCGCCTGTGGCTCTGCAGTTCTCTCAGCTGCTGCACCCTGGCTAACTTGTGTTGACCTCTGAGCCTCTCCGCCTTCTCTTAGGAGACCTTGGAGTGCTTCTCCCTACTCCACGCTGCTGGTGAATCTCCACTGTGTTCCCAGGCCCTCAGACACGGCATGTGTGACTTCCAGTACAATTATGTACACACTTTCAGTTTTTCAGAACATTTTGTAGATTCACACGCATGTGTAATGAATAATACAGACAAATCCTGTGTACCCTTCACCAGCCTCTCTCAAGGCTGACGTCTTGCATCACAAGGGTGTGATAGCACAACCAGGAAACTGATATTGTTAGAATCCACTCACTTTATACAGGTCCCAGTAGTTTTACCTTCACTTATGTGTGTGTGCGTATTTCATCCCATGTAATCTTATCACCCCTGTGAATTCCTACGACCGCCACAATCAGGATACGAGCATCTCCACCAGAAAGGTTTCGTGTGAAATCCTTGCGATTGTCTTTTTGCCTGTTGATTTTTCTCAGGATTCTGGGAGTGTCTTGAAGCAGGGGCCTTCTGTCTCATCTCTGTGTCCTGGTTCAAGTTAACGCAGTCCCGCGCCTGGCTCCTGGGTGGCCCTTTCCGAATGGCCGTGGAAGGGATTCAGATTCTATCACAGAGAGAGAGCAGGACATCCAGAAGATTTTCTACAACGGTTTTGGTGAGGAGGGAGAGAAAAACATCCCGAGACACAGAGAAAATACAATTTTCCAGGAACTTTTCTTCTATGTAGGATTGTGACGCCTCAGAGGTCATGGTGGCTTTGCGGTTCCTTAAAATATCACCTGCTCATGTGATCCAAACAGAAACCTGTTTACAGAGAGCAAAGGTTTCTGGGCAAGATCAGGCATGGACACCAGACGTCGATGTGATGGTCTCAGTTTGGTTCCTTTGCATCATTTGTCTGTAAATATAGGTCCTTGGAAGTGAATGCATTTGAGAATCCTGGACTCATCACCAGCTTTTCTGGCCTGAGGCCTCACCCGCAACAGGAGTGAGCCTCTCTTGGTGAGGCTCCTGTTGGGGAGAGTCACGTGGGCAAGGAATTGGGATTTCTCTTCTCCAGACCGTGTCGTGAAAGTCCAGGAGGGAGGAAGGGTCCCTTAACCCCACTCTGGAGTTTCATCGTGCGAATGGTAGAATTTTCAGAAACATTTCTTAAAGTAGCAGTGATTTTCAGGGCCGGTGCTGTGCCTCACTTGGCTAATGCTCCGCCTGCAGCGCCGGCATCCCATATGGGCACCAGTCCTAGTCCAGGTTGCTCCTCTTCTAGTCCAGTTCTCTGCTGTGGCCCGGGAGGGCAGTGGACGATGGCCTGGGTGCTTGGGCTCCTGCACCCACATGGGAGACCAGGGAGAAGCACCTGGCTCCTGGCTTCAGATCGGTGCAGCACTGGCCATAGCAGCCATTTGGGGAGTGAACCAACAGAAGGAGGACCTTTCTCTCTGTCTCTCTCTCACTGTCTATAACTCTACCTGTCAAAAAAAATTAAAAATTTTAAAAAAAGTAGCAATGATTTTCAAAGCAGCCCTTGTGCCTCATTGATGCATGAAGCCACCCGTGATTGCAAAATTCTTGTCTAGGTAGATTTTACCAGAAAACTCTTATGTCATGCAACCAGACGTTGGGGGAAAGAGAAGGCACACTATCCCAAAGGCAGGGCAGGACTGCGGATACAGGGACAACTGCCAGGGCTTAGAAGTGTGCTCATGCTGCTCTCTTGCGGGTATGGAGAGTGAGACGTGGTGGAGAGTGTGAGGAATGGTGTCAGAGCTGTGGCAGGACACTGAGCTGTGTTTGGAAGTTCCCTGCGATAAAGTTGCCAGGGATGCTGGCGTTCAGAGTGCATGTCCTTACTGAGCTTATACGGCCAAGGATAGTGACGGACAACATACTCGGGGGTGGGGCTGTCGCCGTGTTTTGAGGAGTCCATACTGAACTAACCCTCTGATGTCAGGGATCTTTCCTGGGTACCTACAATGGAGTTCATGTTCACGGCAGTCTGAGGGAGCCACGGAAGGTCTCCAGGCTTGTCCACTTGTCGGTAAAGTATCAGAGCTACGTCAAAGCACCGTTGCACTTCCATCCTAGAAATCCACAATCTGTAACCGCACGTGTATTTTCAGAGTTTTCCATGACAAAGCATGGCACAGTGCCTTACGCAGCACCTGGCTCAGGTAGCCACCAAGTGGTGCCTAATTTTTTCCTATTTCCATCTTGGCAGGCCTCACCATGCCTCCTGGAGTGTGTTCCCTGTTGTAGAAACACTTTGTTTTCATCAAATCATCCTCCCACGTCCATTTTATTGTTAGAGCCGCTAAATCTTTTGTCCACTGGGAAAGAAAAAAATCTTGCCCAAGCACCAGCAGGGTTGGCAGCAGCTGGGTAAAACCCCAGCCCTGCAGACTCCAGATCTACCTTCTGCCCGGGATATGGGCAGTGCTCTCTCCTCATCCTCAGTGGGATGTGGCTTGCAGTCTACGAAGTGGGCTCTCCGCCTCTCCCGGACACGCAAGGTCTGGGAAGAGTTTGGCACCTGCACTCAATAAGCAGATATGCTGACTGTTCTTATTAATCATCGGCTTATTGTGTGAATTCATAGAATTGTGTGACTTGCTAGTTTTGCTTCTGAGAACCGGAGGTTAGTACTTGTTCCTTGAAGGAAGTTCTGTGGCTTAGAAAGACAGAGAAAGAAAATCATATATCAAAGTGACCTTTTCCCCAACTGTTGTGCTGTGAGCAAAACTAATTAGCCAGGTCCTAACTGGGCTGAAGCCTGAGAGCAATGGGAAAAGTTGCTCTGTGAAGATGACACAACCCACAGGGTTTCCTATTTAGTATTTCTGAGGCTTCTGCATTAAATGTGTGTAGTTTACTGCTCACAAGCTGGCGTTTCAGATGGGATGGATTGGCAGGCAGCTCCTTCTAGGCCTGGAAGCCCAGCTGTGGTCTCCAGGCAGCAGCCAAGAAGCTGGGAGAGGCCTCAGCATGACCAGGGAGATGACGGCTTTGAGTTCTTCTTTGATGCACCCATTCTGTCTTTGCTCCCGCAAAGAGACACAAATCATAGAACCACTGTTGGGCAACTATGATGGGCCACTGCCAAGGAAATGGGCACTAGAGGGCCTGGAAAGGGTGTACATATGTCAGCAGAGTCTGGGCGATCAAGCCCCCCTCCCCAGGCACCCAGTCGTGAGGGGACTGCGGGGGAGTGCTGTGGGGAGAGGAGCCTGGAGCTCAGACCAGCCTGTGGCAAGCATCCTCCCACACCGAGGAGCCAAGATGACTACGCAGCGCGAGGGCGGAGGTGCAGGCTTGGAAAACAAAACCGCCTCTTCTCTGCCCCCCTGATGGGAAACCAGGCCCAGTGCAGGAGTCTGGTTGAGGGCCCGGGGCCATCAAAAACATTTGGTTCCTGAATGATGAGAACTGAGGGCAACCTAAACCTTGCAAAACTCCACAAGGGCAGCTCCAGGCCCTTGCACTCTAGTGCAGACTTCAGATGGTGTTGGAATGTAAGAAAAGGAAATAGTGATCCAAGTTACTTATCTTGTCTTCCAGTACCTCCCACACAGGGTTTATTTGGGCATCTGAGGCCCCTTGCATCTCAATCAATGCAGTTACTGGTGAGCATTGTGGTGGTTTAACAGCAACCACCTCACAGCCGTTCTACACTGAGTGCGACAGCTGGGTCCTTGTGGTCAGGGTCTAGCTCCGACGTCAGATTTGGGAGCCCTCACCTGTACATGCCTGTCTTCATCTCCTGAGACCTGTCATCTGTTTTCTCACTTGCAGCTAGCGGCATTGTAGCACAAATCTCTAGCAGTGGAGCCACCATCGCTTCCCCCTGCGCCCTTTGAATACTTCCTGGGTACGGAGTTAATCTACCCGACTGTCTTCTTCTCCATGCATCTGTGAGCTCTTTGAGGGGAGGGATGGCAGCTCGTCCTCATTTCCCCCAAAGAGTATGATGGCAAACAGTTTATGACATGAATGCATGGATGAACCTTTGGAGCCTAGATATTGCTGTGAATGTAAGAGACTGTGTTTCTTGGGGCTGCAGGGAGATTTCCTTGTTTCAGGATCTGTTAAATAAGGTCAACCTCTGCTGCAGCCTTGAGA